CCAACTTTTTCGAGGGATTCGTTTCTGGAATAAATTCTTGGACATCCGAATTTCTCACCTATTAATTCGATTGTCTGTTCGTTATGTCTGTCGATACGCCGGCCTCTCCCTTTAACATGTAAAAAAATATATATATAATAGAAGCCATTCCAAACAATAATTCAGAAAATTTTAAAGAAGCGTTCCAAACAATAATTCAGAAAATTTTAAAGAAACGTTCCAAACAATAATTTAGAAAATTATGGAAGTATTTCAAATAATAATTCAAGAATTCCAAACTGTGCGTAAATTCGGTAAAGATATTGTAGATTTCTGAAAATGTTCGCGATTCAACAGCGAAATTTAATCAGACCAATAACCCGATTGAATTTGTCTCACAGTGGGTAAAATTACTTAAAAAAATTCCCGTAAAAAAGAAACCACGCAATTTTTTAAAAAGTTTCAATTAGCGATGTTTGCTTAAATATCGGGAAAATACCTAATTAAAGTGATTATTTTTTGCTGCGGATTCAACTTAAACCCATAATAAACTGAATTCAAAGCTGGCTGACTCGGTTTATTTTATTTATAATCAGACCTTGTCATAAGGTAACATTTTATTTACTTAAATTTCATAATATCTTCCGCTTTGTTTCATTGATGATGAAGGCAAAGTCGAGAAAAAAATAAACCCGGAGAGAATGCAGTTTCCGTCGTGTCACTTATTCTATTCTTTTCCTACAGTCACTTTATTTCTTCCCTCATATAATGTATTCCCGTGATGTAAAAGTTTGCCACCGTATAGTTGTTCTGCTTTTCTTGTCCTGCAAAAATTGTTTTGCGCGCAAAGGAGAACAAAATTTGAAGAGTAAAGCAGGCAGTGAAAGGGCGTTTCACCTCGTAAGCGAGAAAGTAATTCCTGCTAGCACGTCTGCTGCCAAAATAAATTATCAAGTAAATGAATATAAAAAAAAGTCAGGACAATAACACAAAAAGAACTATACTGTTCATCTATCTCCTCGTATATAGCATTCCTTCAACTTCACATTCTCTGACGCGGTGCATTTCAAAAGTTTTTCTTCGAGAAAAAGTTTCTCGCCCTATTTTTGTGTGCTTCATTTCGATTAATGACGGTGTTATTCTCGGTATTCAACGTGCTTATAAAAAAATCGAATTAAATATAGCCTGCATAGTTTCCTTTATAATGGGTAAATTATACGACGGAAATATATATGCCTGCAGGCTTGTTTACGTATATATATACAGACCAGATTTTATGTTTATTTGTTATCGTTGTCATGCTATGTAGAAAACAAATGCGTTGTTTCTTGCGCGCTGAAGCAAAGTTTTATCAATGACCATAAAATTGCTTGAATTTCGTGAAAGTCGCTGACGACCGCCGTTCTCATGAAAGGTTTCCGCAGAGAATTTTAGAAAATAAACACATTAAGCTAGCCGTAAAACAACGATGATAATAAACTGAAAGGAAATGCAATAATGCAATTATTATAATTCATAATTTTTCCGGCGTTAAAAATTTCAAACTGCTCTACAAAAGTTTCAGGGCAGTGTATGTATATATAAGCTGACGCAATTTCCCGAGAAGTATTCGACACTGCGATTCCATTCCCGTCATACGGTTGTTTCGTGTGTTCGTGGACAATGGAAGTGTTTTTTTTTCTCCCCCTTGTTTTCTTGTGAGAATAGAGGGAGAAAGAGAGAAAAATAAAAAATAAAGACGAAAGAACGACGTCGCAAATGGTCAAGTTGACAGATGAACAAGCACTGGCAGGTCTGCCCTCATGTGTCACTGGCTCATTCTTCTTTCTTTCATTGCTCTGTTATATACCTCATATACCTCCTTATTTCACGAGAAAAAAAAAGTAATACAAAAAGATAAAATGCATGTAGTAGGCTTTAATTTCATTTCTTTTCAAGGAAGAAGAAACAATTCTACAGTGAGAAAGTTTTGTTATTGAGACTTCCTGTATTTCCACCACCAGCAAGAGAGCGAACGGGAGCAAATGATCAGTGACGCGTGGTCTTCATGGAGTGAATTCAAACAAAGCAAGTCGAAATTAAAATAATTGCTATCAGTCGGCGGAACGAAAAACGAAAATGAAAGTGAAGGGCAAGAAATTTTCACTGCACTTGAGTAAAAGTGCGCTGGATTGTTCAAATGCGGAACTACAGGAGGTCAGTGACTGCTGCAGCACGTTCGTCTTTCACTCCTATTGTTTTCCTATTTATAGAAAGCAAAACGCTTTATTTTTGCTCTGGAAAGAAATCCTCTCACGAAAATTTGTTTCTTCGTGGAATTCTTGAAATATTCATTTGGAAACAAAACAGCGAGAAAACAGAAAAAGCTGCTCGATTCTATCATCCAGCAAGGAAAAACAGAAATTACAAGATCAAACGTCTCTCTTTGCAGTTTAATTGAATTGAGCAGGAAGCTTTATTTTCTGCGTTTCAGCGTTCACATAGGTTCAAACAATGTTCTCCCATCCAGGCCCCACCTGATATTGTTAGCATCTACAATTCTTTAATTTCTTCAGTTGACAGTTGATTATCAGCTATTGCCAACCTTCGTATAATTTTTCTACTGCTGCGCGGACCTGCAATAAAGTAGCTGAACCATGAAATATAAAAAATTTTGGAATTATTTCAGTTATCACATCGACAAAAAAATTCAGACGAAAGCTGCTTCATATTTTCTTCGAATAATGTCACATTTCACGATTTTCTTTCATTTTATACGGCCATAGCGTCGCAGATTTTTTTTTAATAAGGAGAGAGGAACTTGAAATGAAAAATATTTCAATGATGCAGAAAGAGGGTCAATGAATTCAAGCTGGTCTTTCCGTTTGAGCACTATTTTGAAGAATCAGCATGTACATTTATTGTTTGAAGAAATATTCCAGTGTATTTTTCCCATAATTTTGATGGAAGATCAAAAAAGTGATAAAATTATTCACGTTCCTGAAGCTATTCAGCCTTTTTCTTGCACAACTTTCTCACCCTCTTATTGGCGAAAAAAAATTGAATGGACATTTATTGTATTGAGAGTAAATTTTTCAAAGATAAATCAATTGATGATTTTAAATGCTGCTTCTTGTATTTTTCCTGTTTACCAGCTCAAAAATTCAATAATGAGATATACACGTAAAAAAAAAAACGGCCCAGTTTTTTGTCCTTATACCACTTACCCCGCTACTTTTTTTTGTTTTTGGTGAAAACATTTAATGGATATTTTGTTGAAATTAATTCTTTTGCTGACAGACCAATGGATGGTTTTAAATGCAGTTTCTTTTGTTTTTAATCTCACCAGCGCAAAAAATGCAAGGGTTAAAAACTTGGATTATTTAAAACGGCCTCCTTTGTTTGGTTTACCACCTGTCCCGCAACTCTTTTTTTTTAATTGCAAAAATTCGAAATTTTCAGGCGTTGCGACTCCATCTGGGAATGACGACAGGGATCCTTCCAGTTGTTCCCCAAGATCAGATGCACCAGTTGATCCTCAACCAACAACCCCAAACCCTGCTATTGGGTCAACAAGTAGCAGCAAGAACGAACCCATTCTGCGGAATTCGACCTGGATTCCAGTTTGATGACCCGAATCAATCACAAACCGTGTCTCCAGCACCACCTGTTGGAACCATTTACGGATCTCTGGGACTCGATCCCATAATGGCGGTGTCGATAATGAGCGGTAATCAAAACAATAATGGACCGTCGTTCGTGGCCAATAAGAGTCCTTTATTGTCGTCATCGTCAGCAGGCGTGTGCGAAGGGTGATTATACAACAAGTGCTTGTGCTTATATATATTTCGGCGTTGCCGAGGGACGAAATCGTCCTCATGCTTCATTTAATTAATTTGTAGTGTTTTTTCTTGTTGTTGCTGTTGTTCTGCGAAGGTTTTCGGATTATTTTTGCGAAGTTGACGGTGTCAGGAACGAGCTTTTAGCGGAAGCGGCGCATAATCAAGGATTTCCTCTTCACATCATTCCGCCTGGTTTGTACAGAGCTTTCATGCACAAGTATGCTTTACATGTTAGAAGTTATTTTTGGCAGAGTATCACGCACTCAGCCGAGAGAATAAGATTAGCAAATGCATTCAATTGCTATCCGTGCGAAGTGCTATTTTCCGCAGTGACGCATTTCTACAATGTGCATCATCATGCTGGGAAATTGAATTGTTAAAAAAAAAGCTCCGAAATCGGATNATTCGCAGAACTGATCTCACGATATGCTGGCATAAATACCGATCCAACCCTGGTTCCCGCAAATTTTGCCCCGTTTGCAGTAGCAGCTGCGAAACCCCAACCTGAGCAGCCGACATCGTGGATCAAATCTTCGCCTCGGGCGTCAGAAAATTCTCCGTTCGACAGTCGGTTCGTGAAAATTTTCGCAAAAATAGTCAACAGGAATGTATGCTGACATTTAAATGAATTTGTATTCGGGAATGATGATTCCATCTCAGGAAGCAACAAGCGGAGATCTTCAACTTGCAAAAGATGTCGAATCACTTGGCAGAGATGGCTTACAGTCAGCATGGCTCAAGAATGATCCAGCAACACCTGCAACGTTGCACACCTCTTGACAGAGAAGCCATTTTCTCAGAAATCTTGCCGGAATCGGAGAAACTGATGACTGATGTTTTCGGCAACTACGTGATCCAGAAACTCTTAGAATTTGGTTCCCCAGACCAGCGAACAGTTCTTGCTGGAAAGGTAAACATTAAAACGTGAGAGTTTTCCAGTAATCTTCGTTCCTCTCATTGCCAAAAAAAAAGAAGATCATTCACAGCTTTTTGCGGCCTTGGTAACGAAGATTGTGAGAATTTCAGTAACCGAAGTCAGTTGTAGAATAATACTGATTTCAATATTTCTGCTTTGATAACATATTTCAAAAATACTTTCCTCGGAAACAAGTAGACGGGAAAAAAAAGACAGAGAAGAGATGACACGATGAAAAATCTGATACATTTTCACGTATGAAAATCCGAATATATACAGAATACAGAACCTTCTTTCAGAATTTTTTTTATTGAATTAATCGAAACATTCTATTGGCAAATTAAGCAAAAATTTCGCAAAAACAATCTCTCATTTTCCACTGTTTTCACTTGACGCATTAGCGACGAAAAAGTATCCGACATTATATTAATATCCACAATCGACAAAAACTGGTTTTCAAAACTTTTTTGTACTTTGACGATGCCAGAATTTTTTATGTTTATTTTAAAATTGCTTTCGATAGCCTTATTCGGAAACATTTCGAACGCCTGAGTCATAATTCGCTGGCATCCATGCTTCTTTGTTCTTCGAATTTTGTTATCCAGAAAAAATCGTCATGTGAAAGTTATTAGTTCAGTTGATAAAGCAGTATGTTATGCAAATATTTATATGCATTGAGGATTATTTTACATTGAGGACTTCCTGCACAATAATTGAAACGAAGTATTTTCAACGGTTTCTTTCTTATTTTTCTTCGTCAGTGGCTTTGAGACCGAACTGCAAATAAGTAACCGGATTCAAAGTATGTCTGTCAATCTTCAAAATAACGGAACGTAAAAAAAAATCTAAATGCTTCATATATACATTATATATGTATTATTTTTTTTCATTCAGATGAAGGGAAATGTCCTGCAACTCTCGATGCAAACGTACGGCTGCAGAGTAGTTCAAAACCGCGACCTTTGGCAGGGGAGTCTGTGACGGTTTTAAGACTAAGTTCTTAACGTGCTGGTGCAGTAGCTTAGGCAGTTCCTGGTCTTGCCCTTGGTGCACTAGGTCTTTACGCACCTTAAGCGGCTTCCCGCCACGAAACAATTCATCGTCGACGCATTCCGGGGACAAGCAACGTTTCTCAGCATGCATCCCTACGGCTGCAGAGTGATTCAAAGGATCCTCGAACACTGTTCGTCCCGTCAAGTCCGACCATTGGTGACAGAACTGTCCGTGGACCTGGACCGACTCGTCGTGGACCCCTTTGGCAACTACGTCGCCCAACACATGCTCGAACACGGCAGCCTGGACGACAGAACCCGACTCGTCGCGTTTGCAAGGGGCAAACTTCTGAGTCTGTCTCAACACAAGTTTGCTTCGAACGTCATGGAAAAGTGTATCGAGTATTCGACGGATTTCGAGAGGAGCCAGTTCCTGGACGAAGTTTGTGGCTATGCATCAGACGTTGATGACCCGAAGCAAAGTCCTCTTTACATCATGATGCGAGACCAGTTTGCCAATTACGTGTTGCAAAAAATGCTGGACTTGACGGAAGCGGAAAAGCGAAAGACAATTCTGAGCAGAATCGCCCCTTACATCAATGACCTTAGAAAAGTGAATCACGGGAAACAAATTTTAGCTAAATTAGAAAAATATTTATCGGAATCTGGAATCCAGGAAAATTTTCAATCATCACCCAAGTAATGCATGAAATGGCGACTGAACGCAAACCAATTTTGATATGAAATTAAACCATAAATTTATCATGACTGTACTTGGACTCAGATTTGTTCTCAAGTTTTTTACACGATCCAGTACACTATAACATATAATTTACGCGTAGAAAATTATGCTGTGGGAAATAAAATCTGACTGAAATTCAATCGACGTTATTCGATTACGGATACCTCTCATTTCTTTGATTAAAAAACGCAGTTTGGTTTAGAATCGGGGCATATGTCGAATTGTCAACTGCATTCTCTTTCTATATCGAGTGTGTCTATTTACTGATTATTTTAGTGCAGGAATTTTCAATGCTTGTTGGTCTGAAATGTATCGCTTTTCACAAACTATGAAATATTTTCATCGATATCCCGAAAGTTCAGAAATACAGCTTGCGGACATGCTGATGAACATTTTAAAAATAAATTGATGACAAGGCTTGAAAACCTGGCTTCTTTAACGAATAAAAAAGGAAAATAAGGAACTTCGGAACGATGTTTACGCCAATAAATTCGGTATTGCATATTTATCTTATACATTTCTTACACTTCTTGGGTTTATGAGTGCAAGGAAAATGCTTTGATAAAAAAATCAAGCCCACTGACAAATATTTTCTTGTCACACGATGCAACACATTTGTTGGCCGATTTGTGATTACTGTTGAAAATTAGAAAACAGTAATAGAATTTGAGACACATTAAAAGGGCACCACTGACAAGAATGTCTAAATCCATCTGGAATTCCTTGGGACTGAGTCTGACCTTGAGTTCCCATGGGAGTTTGGATTCTTGGGGAAATCCTAAAGAAAGGGATGAAAATCTCTCAAGGACAAAATTTTCCAATGAAAAAGAGTTTAAATACCAAATAGTTTGTATGTATGATCATCAGTTGCTCTGTATATCTCACACAAAAGACTATTGCTTTTTTTTTAACTTGTATTGCATTCAGCAGAATTTCTGCGCTTCTATTTTTCAAGTATACCAACCTTACACTAGGGTTTAAAGCTCCCCAGTCGCAGCCCAGCTGATTACTGTTTTCTTCATTTCTGACGGTTTCAATCCAAGGTTTCAAAAGGTTCATCATCCAAATTCAAATTCCTAACAAATACATTTGTTATAAAAAATGTTGGAAATCTCTTTTAAAATTTTTTACAACCCCATATTTCAATTTTGTTATCATAGAAAAATTACCCTAAATTCAATTTTAGGATAAATTTTGCAAGAAGCAGAAAAAAATGCCCCGGAAATTTCACCTGAGGGTATTTGATATTGGCGTGTTTGTTTTTGGTAATCCGTGGCTAAAAATTGTCTGTTGCGAGAATGTTTTTGCAGAAAATGGAGCAATATGCAATATACAGTAATTCTAAGTCAGACGAAAATTATATAACAGTAAATTAAAAACATAAAGTCGGGTATTATCACGAAAAACTGTGATTATGTTCTCTATTTTAGTACAGCATTCCGTCATAAAAGTCTAGTTCGTGTCGTGCAATTTTTTTTTTACACACAATTTAAATGACCGTTCAACAGTAGTAGAACGTGATTTACAATATGTCAGCACAAATATGTTAGTCAATCTTTTCGTGGAAGAAGAAAAAGTCAGTCTATGTATCACGTCTCGGGCGTACAAAAAAAAAAAAAGGATACCGTGCTTGATTTCAAAAATGAAAGCTCGTGTAACAAATAAAAACACAAGGCTTTATTTAGCGTCAATAAATCAACAATTCGGAGAGAAGCAACTTCTCTTTCCACCTACAAGCTGGCAAGAAGGAACGGAACTTCCGGGGCTGTTGTTGGGGCCGTTTCTCTGACGGCGAGCGCCAATTCGCTGGTCAAATTGGCGAATGCCTTCAGGAAAGGCATGGCGGCCTTTTCCAGGGCTTGAGTGAATCTGGAGAAGAAAAAAAATCGGAGAAAATGTAACACACTTTTCGGCACAAAAATCGCACTGACCTTCCTCATTCTCAAAAATAATATTTCCAAAAAAATTCTTTGCGTGACCCGAGAGAAGAAAAAAGGTGGAGATTTTCGCAAGAAGAATCGAGCCGCGAAAATAATTGATTACTCAGCAGGTGGTTCTACGGATAAATTTGCATGTACGAGTATAATCCAATAACAGTTAAATTATGTTGCATATTCCACGTAACTTTATTTCAAAAGACTCAGCGGCGAATTTTGAGAATTCACATTTGCTTCTCAATAACAATGTCTTATATAAATCACTAAATAGCACTAAAAAAACTGAAAACTCAGGACAGACAGACATATTCTTTCTGGATTTCTGAGAGAAATCTTTTGATCATTAATATTTCAAATGAAACAGCAATCCCAATAAATGGGCTAGATTTTGCGGAATCACAAAAGAATTCTGCTTTATTCTTACAATTTAATGCAACGGTAAAATTTAACATGTAAGGCTTTGATCAACCACATCAAATTTGGTTTGGTGAATTCTATCAACTCTAAATTATTTTTAGAAATACAGTACAGGTAACGAAACGAAGATAAATATATTTTTGACAATCAATAATTGCCAGAAATTCTGTTCCACGTCGAACAGAAGAGGAAATCGGGATGTAATGAAACGGATAAACGTTTTTTTTCTATATTTCGACGAGACTGAAATACTGTACTCGTAAAGTACTGACTATAAAGAATTACTCCCACAGAAAGTTGTTTTCACTACTGAGAATTTCAGGTGACGATATTCCTTTGAAAATTTCTCAGTTGCACTTGAAAGACAATTTTTCCATTTTCTTGGAATACGGCAGACTTGCGCTGTGCATTTTAAATTTTAAAGGAAATTTTAGGTAAGACGCGCACTTGAACACTTCTCAAAAATCTAAAATCATAATGGAAGGCCGAATGTAGATCTTCATATTTTATTTCACCATGTCATGCTTGAAACGCGTCGTACCTGGATAATTTTCCGCACACAAATTTATCGAATGCTCGCACCTCACGTTCAACTGAAAATCAAAATCCTGAACGAGTCGTGTCGAACGAGCCAATAAATTCAATTTGGCAAAATTCGTTGGTGATACTTCACTTGGAGACTATCGTGAGCAGATCAGAAATAAGATATACATGTACCTGAATTTCTTTCATCAATCGCTCGAAAGCCCAAAAATGCAGGTGTATGTAAAATCTACGGGGATTTCTAAATAAACTGAGAGATTGAAAAGTAAAAGTAGATAACAATGCAGTAACTCCAATTCTTACTTCCTGGAAGGTCTGAAATAAATCCAATACCTTTTTCTTTGTGTATGAAAGCCTAGACTTTGAAACCAAAAATTCGAAAACAAGTCGGACATTGAAAGGAGTGCTTCGATCCACCTGTCAAGAGCTTAAAATAATTATTAATCTTCACGCTTGCAAATTGTATTTCTTAAAAACGCTGGTGTGTTATCTGACTGTTACTTGAATTTTTGGCTTTTGGTTGGAATAAAAAAATTTTTAATAACAACCTAGTTCGACACATTAGTGTTTTACAAAAGTTTCTTGGCGGCAGTTTGATTTAAACGGGGAAAACATCCATTCAAGACGCTGATAGATATTGAAGAAGTTCAATAATCTCAATTCGTCATATAATAAACAAAGTGAGGGATGTTTTCGATGCAATAAAAGCCTAACCGGAAGGTGACAGAACAAAAATAAAGACCTTGATTAAATCTATCCGATAAAACAGCAAAACTTCTGCACCATTCCAAAAATAACACCAGAAAGAATTAAACTCGAAAAATAATCGAACTTTAATAATTATTGAATGCATTAATATATGAACGGAAGGCAGATGGATGAAAGCATCGGAGTTTTCCACAGGTAGCGAGCGACATCTACACGATATTGAGTAATGAGTGTCTCTAGCGTTTAGCAAAATATGCGCGTGTTGTTTGCTTTTTATGGGCTTCTTTTCATGTGAAAAGGACATCTTGTGCGTGTTTTTCTTCTGCAAAATTATTTTCTTTATTTTGGAGTGAAGACAAATTTCCTTCAATTACTACGGTTTTTTTGCAATTTGGCCCAACAAGATGACGAATTGAAGATGTTCCCGCGTTCAATATTATTATGGGAAAACGTGATCCAACATGCGGGCATTCCGAATTTGCGACACAGGGACAAGGTCTAAGAATGTCTGCATCTCTGGACCCCACTACATTCCTGATTTTTTCGAGTATTTTTCGATTGATTTGATAAATTCGTGTGAGTTAAGAACGTGAAGCTAAAAAAAAGAAAAAAAACAAAGACAGAAGCTTTACAAACCTGCTGGGGTCAAACTGGATGGGCACGAAGATGGGTTGTGCGATCGGTACAAGCTTGACTCCTGACGGGTCATCATTCCGATCCTTGGGCAAGACGTCTTTGAAAACTGCCCTGGTTGTCTCGTCCACGATCCCGAACATTTCGTGGATGGGTCGCAAGAGGGCCGCAAGGTGGTCCTGGGTTTCGCGCTTGGTCCTCAAAGCCCGAGTGCCGATTGCAGATCCGTACACGTCATTCAACGATGTCACCTAAGTACCAAGTGTTATATATAAATAATTATCGTATTTAAAAATTTGATGTTCCTGTGCTACGTCTCACAGAAATACAAATTGAATCCCGTTATAAAAATAATCGAAAATAAGAAAGACTCTGATGCAAAATGCTTAATACAATTTTCTCGATTGTATAATTGGAAAGTCAAAATGCATGGGTCAATAAAAAGTGTGGCAAGGTTTTAGACCATGCTCTCTATTTTCTTTTTAGAATACTAAAAAGACATCTAAAAAAAATTAGATCTCTTACACGTCGAACTTCGAAAAACGTGCTATATTTCTCATCAATTGGGGATGGGTGGAGATTTCATTGCGTGGATCGTATTCTATTTTTTACATTTCTGTCGTCAAATTTATAGATCAGCAAAAATGTCCTTCACTTCAGTTCAAGCTGGGGTGTATTTTAATTTGTGACATCAAAAATAAGCTCGAAAACAGCACGCAGCCATACTAATTGCTATTATGCAGATGAATAGTTTTACCTTTTATAAATAAAGCTGGAAATAATCGTTTGATAGGAAATGGACAATAATTATGACGTCGAAATTGTGTGCAGGAGAACAAGAGATTCTTTGGAGAATTTATGACTAATATGTCTCGTATTTTCAACGAAAGGATTTTCGTCATTATAGGTCTTGAACTCTCGACAAATTCCTCACGAAAAACTTTGTGATGGCAAAGAAAATACCGTATTTGAGAACAGATTCAGCACATTATTTAAATAACGTTTTGACCAGTAATAAAGGAAAATTTTTAGCCAATAGCTCTATACGGACAATTTCTGTCTTTTACGAACATTTACTAAGCTGAAAAACTTCTTTCCCATCATGAGCAAACCGTTTTCAATTTCAACTAAAATCAAATCAATGACTACGAAATGAAGCCAAAGTATTCAGGAAAGATATTAAGTACAGGGGCGTGTTACAGTACATGGACTGATTTATGGATAGTTGTTTCTTGAGAGGCTGAAGATAAATTTGGGGTTTCATGTTGAAAAAACCCCAAATTAACTGTTCTTTTATATTATTTTACGCTTATTCTGCCATTAAAGATGAAATTCCCCTATGAGAACTGTCTCAGTTCCTCGTGTCCTTAGCCAGCTAAGTGACAAAATGGGCTCCAACAAAACAAATCATACCCACGAACGAAAAAAAAAACCCGAAGAATGAACTCAAATTTTTGTAGGGAAACTTGGTGTTGAGTAAACCGAAACTTTCATGATGCATTTTTTTTTAAATTTCTTATTAAGAATTTTCAAAAAAGATTCCCATCTGTGAAATGAACTTCCAGAATCATGAAAGCAGATGTAGAATGGATTAGATTTATCACCAAGCATTTTAAAACCGTTGTGTAATGTTCCAAGGAGGTCTGAGATTTTCATTTTTATTTAAAATTATTTCCCGCAGTGATTTTCAATCCTGGTTTTTAAAATAAATACTTTCCCAATTCTTTTCTTTATCCCCAATTAATTGATTTGAGCAGAATCAGCAAGAACGACGAGTAGTAATATTTCTCCCCACTAAGGATGCTCAGATTCGAATACCACGGAAATTCTTTTCATTTCTTTGTTTTTGTGGAAAATAGTTGCAGAAAAAATTTTGAGAGAGAACTTTGGAATTTCCCTCATGCGGGAACATTTATGCTTATAGCTGGCTAAAGGCGCGCGGAACTAAGACAAGCGTTTTTTCGCACGTTTAAATGCAAGCGGATAAAACCTGTCAGGAAAATATTATATAAAAGTTGAACCTTGATAACTCAAACCTCCCAAGTCAAATACCTCCGTTTTTTAAAATTTTCTCAAATCCCTTGAAAATCCACTTGAAAGATGTATTAATAAAATTTTTTTTAACTCCAAGGCTCTGTCACTCAAATTTTCTGAGGCCTTCTGGATATTATTTTCTTGATACAGGAGAGAGAAAAGCAATGAAAACATAACTAGATGTCATTTTTTTCAAATAAGTGAAATAATAATTAGGCAAAGGAACCCTTGCCTCCAAGTTCAGCATCATCCTGTCACCTCATTTAATCATCAATTTAAAGCCCAGAATATCACCAATTAAAATTTCCTGCAATTCTTCTATCTCTCTTCCCTTCCCCCACAAAAATTCTTGTTTTCTTAACTGGAAACCTCCCATCAAACTCGAGTTTTTTTTCTTGTCCCTTGAAGTGTAATTTAACCCTTGGACAGCAGAAGGTTCTTTCCCATTGCCAGCCAAAGCCGGATTATTTTTGCCTGCTGAGGCATTTTAAGTTTTCTGAAGGTCAGAAAAGCTGTTCCAGGTGGGCTGAGGCAAAGTTGGGATTAATCTGCAAAAAGCCTGTTGCATAACATACCATATTTTCATTGCAAAATTTTTCTGCGCAAAAAGAAAAAAAAACATCAGGATTTTTCCTGACTTTGTCCTCAACTCCCTGTTGTCATTTTTTCCTTTTCCTCTCTGAAGTGCAGCAAAATTTTGAAAAAATAGTCCAACTTTGCAGCGCAAGGGTTAAAAACATTCAACTGGATTGATGAATAAATAAACAAATGAATGATTAAATACATAAATAAATGAATGATCAAATACATAAATAAATGAATGATTAAATACATAAATAAACGAATGATTAAATACATAAATAAATGAATGATTAAATACATAAATAAATGAATGATTAAATACATAAATAAATGAATGATTAACTACATAAATAAATGAATGATTAAATACCGTACATAAATGAGTGCTTACATGAGGCTTGGCCTGTTGCGCAGCGAGTCTCAAGGCGGTGGCCTGTGCAGATTCCCCGCGCAGGGCGGTCCTGAGTGCGTCCGACGTCTGCCGCCGCAAGTTGTTGGCCAGGGCGCCGACGTTGGAGAAAAAGGTGGACAGGCGGTTGCCGTTGGCGTCCGTCTGCGGCACGGAGCTCGCGACTGACGACGATGAGCTCGTTTGTCTCTTTGGGCGGGCGTGGAAAGAAGACTTGCCCTCGGACTCGAATTTGTCGCCGTAGACGGAGTACACGTTGCCGTGCTGCAATGCTTCTGCTCCGATGAAGGCTGCTGGGTCGGGTTCGTCGTAGACGATCTGCTGCTGCTGACTCGTTGCTGGAGCATCCAAGAACTCCGTCTCTGCTTCCTGTTTCAACATTGATTTCATAAAATTATAATGAGAATAAAATATATGAAGTTATAATAACCACAAAATAATAACACTACGCCATAATCACCTCGAGAATGTGCCCTCCCCCACATGTACTCGTATATTACTGGGGATCTGGGGTGTAGCCTAAAAGCCCCCCTGCCAAAAGCCCCCCTAGGTCAAAAGCCCCCTCCTGCCAAAAGCCCCCTAGGTCAAAATCCCCCTACCAAAAGCCCCCTGCCAAAAGCCCCCTAGGTCAGAATCCCCCCTTCCAAAAGCCCCCTAGGTCAAAATCCCCCCTGCCAAAAGCCCCCCCCCCTTGGGGCAAAAATTGGGGATTACAGGTCTTCTTGTAACTCTTGATGGTAAGCTAAGAGCTCAAATGCCAGTACTAGGTGCACCTTTCACCAGCAGGCCCAGCACAAGGCCAAGTACCAATATGTTTGTAAGTTGAGTATATGAGTAGGGATTCCTCACCTGCAGTGGTCATCAGTGATTCTTTGAATGTCAAAGCATCATCACTTGCTGACTTCTACAAAATCTACAGTTCACCTTGTTGATCCAATGGCTGGTGCACTTCAGATCATCAACAATTAGAAGGGTGGTCAAAAGGCCTACTAAAATTGGCTGTTTATTCATGGTTAAGAACACCACAGCCAGTACTAGGTGCTGGAAATGTGCTAATCAAGAAGGAGATGAGATAAGAGGGCCACATCAAGAAGAAAATGACATTGAGAGTGTCAGTGACATTGAGGAAGAGGCTGCAAAAGCCAATTTTGAAGATTATTATTCAACAGTCATTTTGAGGACTAATGAAACCCAGCAGCCCTTCTCAGAGCCACCAAACACTGTTATGAAACTTGCATCCAAAAGAAAGTGGGGGGGGGGGGGGGGGGGGGCTTTTGGTAGGGGGCTTTTGACCTAGGGGGGCTTTTGGCAGGGGGGGGGGGGGGTTTNGGGGGGGGGACTTTTGGCAGGGGACTTTTGACCTAGGGGGGCTTTTGGCAGGGGGGGGGGGGCTTTTGGTTGGGTACTGGGGATCTGATATTATATTATTAGTGCGAATATAAGTACAGCTAGTACTAAAGTTTGGCATGCTATTTTGAAAGTATATCACATGAAGCCATAGCTACTTTCACAGACAGTATAGTTGACTTCATTCTATGGACAGCGTATAATATTCCGATTTATTTGATTAAATAACTTTTGAACTAAGAAATGAGCTCCGAAAACTGTTTGTCCTGAAGCCGTTCATTTATAGAGGAAATTTTATAGCACAGTAATCGATTTTTTCCTTCTCTATCTCTCTCGGGGAAGGTCTTTTTCCTTGAAAAAAAAGAACTTGCAAATCAGGATACCGAGTAAAAAAAAAGGTCTCGAAAACGTCGATCTGTTCGCTTTCTCAAAAATATTACTCAAATCGCTGAAAATTTAGCACTGCTCCTTGTAGATGCGCCAGTTCATTATATTTCTCTTCGCAATTTGATCAATTAATCCCGAATGCCACATTCACGCAACTATAAAAAGCCACCGACTACGTATTCTATTCGTGGCTGAAAAACTATTGCATGCGAATCCAAGGCGCACTTCCATAACTTTGGATTTTTGTTGTAGCAGATGAGTTCCTTGTTTTAAGCATATTTCTCTTGCATGCTTAGTAAATTCGAACACCCACCATAAATCAGCGAATTCTAATTCTTCTATCTTTGGACGAGAAATGGCAGGAATGAGTCGCGCAATATTGAATTTCGTACTTGACTCTACTTGTGATGGCAAGATTCTCTTCAGAATGTAAGAAATCTTTTTTTAATATGGCTTTGAATGAAAAGCAAATTCCCAAATTATGAAACCAAATTTTAAAAAATTGCGTCTGACCATTGACTGAATGCGGTAGAAGTACTTAATCTCCAAAAGAACTAAGATATTACGTCATACCGTAGTCAGGCCAATTTAACCCGGAAAACTCGTTCAGATTTAACGAAAAAGATCAGGATAAACTTTGAAATAATCTTTTAAGTTTCTTTGGTAAAATACGCTTAATCGTTAATCATACAGAAGAATGATGGAGCTATTTCAGTCTTCTTTTCTGCACTATATCTGCATCCATAGTTTAAACTGTAGCTAATTTTAAAACGAAATAAAAATGATTGAAGGTGTGAAAAATGATTGAACATAAGGACACTCATTAATTTTCTTGTTGCGAACGAAATCCGGATTGTGAGAAAAAATTTGCACGTGAAAGTATTTTTGACTACCGTATTATTAAAAATAAGAAATTGTATGGAATGCCAGATAAAATATATTTCGCTCGTTTAAAATGTTGGCAATGGAATAAATAATGATGCCCACGGACCGCGAGTGTTTGAAATTCAGATGCCACCATTCAATCCAATTTTAAAGGATTTGAAAAGTTCGAATTTCATGAGAGAAAACTCAGGGGGCCAAAAATATTTAATTAATAATGTTTATTTAAGATGAGGCAGGAATCTACAGGCGGTGTGTGATGATTAGAAAGTTTACACGACCAAAAATAAATAAGTGTCATACAAATCCGAGTCAAGCCTACAATGCGACGAACTCCATGATTTGACTAAAATATAATTTTTTAAAACTTGAATATGATCCATAGTTCTGCAATAAAATAATATAATGCGGAAATTGTCTTATGATCATCACTTAACCTCTCAAAATAACTCAGGAAAAAGTTAGCATTTGGTTCAACACTTGAAAGGGAGAATTTCTCCGGTGGTTGCACATAAAGAAGATGAAGTGAAATTTTGCAGAAATTCAGATCACGAAAATGAATCCAAAAACTGAGAAATAAGAACATTCCAGAATCGATCAGAGTTTAAGCATGCCTAAGCTTTCTTACACTATTTCAGAACATCAAAACCATACCCTGACTTGTTACACATGAAGTTCAACATGGAGTCCCCTAAAAAAAGTCAACCGAGTTGTAAAATTAAAAGGTATAAACTAGAACTACGGAGAATGTTTTTCTCGGTTTTTTTCTGCGAAGACCAGCAATCATGCAAAAAAAAATCAGTAAATCACAGGGGAAAAAACGAATGGTGCAAAAATTGCAGAAAATGTATCGAGGAACTCCCCAGCAGGGAAAGTCTCTGATCGACTACAAATGCGAAATCCAACAGCATAGTTTAATTTTTTTATGAACTGAATATTAGCACTAGCAAAAAATAAAATATTAATCAATGGACTTCAGACACAAAATAGTTTTAAAATTTACGTCATGATCGAAAGCGAATGGCTATTTTTATTGATTTATTTATTTTTTTGCTGTCGACATTTATACTGTATATTAATTTAGCGACGTTAAAATCCGCGCAAGTGGAGTTCGATCTCGTCGAAATTTTGAAACTTCCAATATGATGAAATGTTCGGTAATTTTTTTCCATCCATTTACAAGTGTCCGGAAACACTTGAGAAAGAGATCGATTCCCTTTCGCAAGTTTCAAAGCCGTTAATCGCATAGTACCTATGCAATAACAGTCATTGCGCAAGTTTCTCGCATCTTGCATACTAAAACGATGCCCCGTGGTTACCTGAATATTGCGCAAAAAAGCCATAAACACGCGATAAACACACATGTAAAGCTTCCGTATATTCTGTTGAAAAATTTAATGCAAATAACTTTTTTCGTCTCTCTTGAAGCTCGTCGTTAATGAAGGAGTTCTCCGCTTTAAATTGCGTCCAAGATTCAAAGCACAAGATTACGCAAGGAACGAAAATTCTATCAAAGAATTATTCATCACGCAATCAGTGAAGGGTGACTTTTGCGCATGCACAGTTTGGTACATTTTTGATTTTATAAAAGTATTTCCATGATTGTTGGGCATGCACGCCATGTATAGAATAATGTACTCAATTCTGAAAAGTAAATGGTATTTCCCCCTCAAAATTGCAGTGCCAGCAACAGCATATTTGATGTTAGCTTTCTTGCTTTGGTTGTAACAGTAAAACCTATTGAAGGTGGAATATTATTGATAGTATATAAGCTGCTCCTTTTCATAGCATCAGAAGAATTAGAGTCAGTTCAGTTCAGCTGTGTTATTCCAATTATTCAAGTTGAGTTCCATTGAGTTGCTTATTCGCTTTATTCCAAAAATATATTTAACCGCTTAAACTAGGAATTCCATAACGGAATCCCGGTCCTGTCCCAGACTGATTGTTGTGTTTTCTTAATTAGTACAGTACTCACTCCACATCAAATCATATTGAAGACATATTGAAGCCTTGTGAACACTGAAAAGCAGCAAATAAAGTGTTCTGTTCGTTCATTCATTCATTCATTGAAGACATATGTCCTTAATAATGATGATTTAAAAAAAATAGAAACCAGAAGATGTGTACGAATATCCCTCGCAAATTCTAAATACCTGATCTCGAAGTTTCTCCAGATTCATCAAATGCTTGATGAAGTCCCTTAGACTGTATTGAAACTCCTGTTCAGCAGGTTCCTGAGCTGCAGCTCCGACCACCAAGGCAACCACTCCAAACCACACCAGCTTCATGATTGCGAAAATTTCTGTTTTGCTTTTGAGCACTTCACAAATATCCTGCGGAAGAAATTTCCAGTCTATATTAGCATTTGCCAAAAAAAAATGACGATGAAAAATCTCTGATGAACATTGGGGTACTTTTTTGCGTTGAAGGATTCATTATTTCCAAATTCCGTTATGTCATCCGCGGGGTTCCGCATTATCCCTTCAGTAAATTGCATGACGATAAACCTAATCAATTAAAAAAAAGCGTTTAGCAAAAGTACAGTGCTGTATAAATAACATATACGTTGCATGTGAAAAGATGCTTACAAAATACGTGGCTATAAGAATCGAACATTAATTCGATTCTTGATGTTCACCGCCTTCCAAAATTATTAAAAAATTTTAAATGGGTGATTTTCAACATTTTCTTCGCATGAATCGAGTTTCTTCTGAAAACGTGATTCAAAAAAGCCTAAATTCATCTGCTGCATCGCGGTAATATTCATGAAATCTCTCATTGTATAGAATCACAAGGCAAGCAGCAATAATTCAAGAAAATTAAGCAAGGTTCTCCAATCGATGATTCTCGAAAAGAACTCCACCTATACTTCTTAGAAACTCTCCTCCAAGAAAAAGTTATTAAAAAAAAATTCGTTGGAGGACATGGAAAAAGGAAACCGATTGGCACTTGCACGTGAATAGAAAAGCACAATTAAAATGAGTAAGGCTCAAGAAAAATAGGCTGAGACAACCAAGAAATTATCCCAAGTGAAAAACGTTTGGCCAATTTATTGATCACAAGGTTCCACCTCAAAAATCGTATCCCAAAAACTGAGAACATCGATTTCAATGGAAGGTTAAGGTCATATATCAATTTCTCTGACGGTAATTTGAATGAGAAAAACTGACTTAGTCACAATTTTCATGTAGGGAAGATGGAAAAATTGTTTACCCTTCCTTATTTTTTCCGGAAATGAAAATACGGGCGTGTTTTCATTTCGAAATCTCTCAAGTACGTATCTTATCGTAATTATATCCGTTTTTTTGTAATGCGAATTATTCTTGAAAGCCAGATTTCCTCTCCGACTCGAAATTCCACGGAAAACAGTTTACGAAGATTCAATCCCAAATAATACCTATAATAATAAAACAACAGTCTGCTTCAAATTTACAGAAGAGCCAAATCATAGGACTTCCATCATTCACGAATATACATACATGCTAAAATAATATGTCATTCTTTGAAGCTAATTTTAAAGAGTTGAAATAAAAATGCATCTTCTACAAAAACTTGATCATCTACGGCTTGACTGATGTGAATTAAACATGTTTTTAAAAATTGAGTTTTCTGGAAAATTAATTTTCCAGCGAATGCACAGTTCTTCAACCTGATTCGATCTTGTAATCAATGCTATGATGAGGCTTCATTCATCATCCCGAGTTTTTCAGCGTTTTATTTTTAAAGTTCATTGACCATTTTTCCTATTCCGAGGTGTGGCCGAGTCGTGTTCCGGGATTACAAGTATGGAGAACCATCAGAGAATAAATTATAGAAGGGTAACAAGGATCATCACTGCCATCAAAGGAATTTTTCAAAATGACGACTTCGAGAAATAGTGCTGCATTGTTAAATAATTCCTTTGATGCATAATCATTTCGTCTTTTGCCCAGACCCAAACATTTGAACAGGATTCGGAAAGTTTAACGAAAATTTGATTCACACCGCTAAAAATTAATGCAAATTTACGTCCGCGAAACAGTCACAATAGGTATAACCATTTATTTTCGCTCACGGACTTCAATAAAATTCAACGGACATTTTTAGCAACAAATTTTTCTTTTACAGTACATATATCGATTGTTTTGAATTTTCACTAATAGCTAGAAAACTCTTCGTGAAAAATGCAATGCGCTCACATATATTTTGTCCTGCTTACTAAAAACTGACATAATCCCTCGCACAAATAATTTTGATCAACGTTTTGTAAGTGACACTCGTTCTATAGTTTCACTTGTCGTTATTTACCGGAGCACCTTCTTCTTCTAGACTTCGGGAGCAAGAAATCAAACTGCGTGAGTCTTAAAAATTGTATTTGAGGCATTCTCGAAGAAATACCTGGGAGAAACATTTGACGTCTTGCACGGAAAACACTCGACATTCAACTCGATGCGGATACTTCTCATTTATTGTCCATAAAAAGAAGAAAAAAAAAACGGAGGAAGGTTTTCCATTCCTCATCATGCAACAATAACACTTATCGAGAGTGAGACACCGTCTCTCCTGTTACTGCTTTTACAGCGAACGCGTCGAATGCTTTCGTGGGCAACAATCGTCGTCGGCGGCGGCGGCGGTGGCGGCACTTTCTTTCCGCCGCCGCAGAATAAGACGATGATGAGAGGGCGACGACGCGGGGGTCCTTAACTTGACCATTAACGAGCACGGCTTTTCAAGCAATGACGCGAGTCACGCGGGTTCGGGAGCGAAATGACGCCAGCACGGATATCCGGAACCAGATCAACGCCGAGGCTTTCTAATTTTGTTTTTCTTTTTTTTCACCACGCAACAAAGAAATGGAGAAGGAAATGACTGGGGGAAATTGAAAGACGGGAGGGGAAAAAAAAACTTTCGGGCTCTATAATAGTGGTGTGGAGAAAGAAGCGCTTTGCTTCCTCGCCTCAGGTTCACAGCGGAGAGACCTGGTGGAAATTGGAGCGACTGCGCGGCGACTGAACCGCCGCTGCGGCGGCCCAGGAGCCTTTCAAGCCCACAGCCAGTGTTGCCACTTGCCTGTAAGGCATGCCACCGTATACTGTACTAGATACAGCGTGATGACCGCAGCCGTGTAGTTTCCCAACCTTCACATTTTCATTTCACAGTAGGGTATCTTTTTTTTTCATTTTCCTCGCGGAAGCCTGAAAATCAATATTTATGGCGCGGATGAGAAACTTGGGCAAGGTGTACTCGTATATATGTTCCGCGAATAATTTTTCTAGCCCCCCACTAATTTCCATTTCCCGTTTTTATGGCGTTCATTCCAAGTTTCGTACATACAGGTGGACTCCCTTTGCAACGGAATATTCAAGGGATCAGACAAGAATTCGTTGTGGAGAGAATTTCGTTGTAGAGATAACTCCTTCAACATCGGGAGAGAAGCATATATGTATATGAGACCAATACAAAATTCGTTTTGCAGAGAAAATAGTTGTGGGCAATTTCGTTGTCGCTCGATTACCTTGAGTTTTAAGACAAAAAATCATATCCTTTTAATCACATTGAAAATACAGTAAAATTCCAATTACAGCATTTGGATGAGGAATTGAACATTGGGGCAATTCATAAACATCTTGAACGTCAGAAAACTTATGATTGCTGATCATCCTAGCACAATGGCATGCTTCAATAGTCAGTCAACCCCTGTCTATTGTACTTGAATTTGTGCAAAGGAAAAGTATGTTAGATGAAAAGTATGTTAGACATATTTGCTTTTCCTATAGGTTTTCATGTTTAAAATTTAAATTTGACAGAAGTGCATTAGACAGATTTGGTACATGAATGAATGAATGAATGAATGAATGAACAGAACACTTTATTGCCGCTTTTCAGCATTCACGAGGTTCAATCAAGATTTCACATCCAAACCCCCTCCCCACCCAACCAAATCAACTCAAAGACATTTAAGCACTTCAGTGCAGGAAACAGAGCACAAATGGATAACAGAAATATAAGAAAATACAATCCACAAAATACAACTGGACATCTGACATGTATGCATACACCCATTCATGGTACATTCATGGTACATTAGAAGGGATGAAAAACTGCCTCCAGCAGAGGTGGTACATTGGACAAAAATCTGTTAGCTGGGTGGTATGTTAAATGGAGGTTGACTGTATGAACCCACTAGCATGGCATTTTCTTTCTAAATTTATTTGTGATAAATGAAGTGAAACAGATGAGGAGGCACTCAAGTCATTTATACCTTTCCTTGCTCAGTATTCTAAATGTATCAGCATTCCCTTTGTGTATTTTTGCTGTAAAACTTGACGCATTCTTGTGGACACAAGCTGCAACGTCACATGAGTGAGATGGAAGTCATTAAAAGTTATTTGCAAAACTTCTAGAAAGCAATCAATGTTTTGTGCAGCCATTGAATTGGGGTTCCAAATGCATCAATTTACATTGAAAAGATCTAGCAGTAATACTGCATCGCTCAAGCACCCAAAAGATCATTGATTGGACCATGATCTTATTAATCAAGATACAATTGCATAATTGCTCAATAAAACCTAGGAAAGTTAATGTAGCTTTTAAGCACCTCTCTTTCTTCCTGGAATCCTCAAGCTTTGTGAGGATACTTTTTTCAAGGTCATCTTTCATATTAAAAAAGAAATATGTGGAAATAGAAGAATAAACACTCATGAATTCTGAATATTCGGTTGAATCTTGTCTGCATAAGTTTGATTAACCTTAAAAGCTTGATTAGTGTGAAACAAATCTGAGTTTTTCTTTTGAAATAATATTCATCCGTTTAACTTATTTGCTGCTAATTTTGGTTGGAACTGCTTTACTTGCCCAATAGAAGGATTTGATGAGCGAATATGTTTCCTTGTTGAGTGATTTAATGTCTTGTGTTGATGGATTAAAATTGATTTGAGTTTTAAGGTATTTTATATATTGCTTTATTGGCACTGCAATGACAAATTTAACCTCAGATGAACCAATATTTTTTGTGTCTCTGAAATGTATTATAATTTTCCTTGAAATAAAGAGAATACACTTGCATTTTGTTCTGTCTAATGCTTCTCAAAAATTAAATTTTTGCTTCAAAGTGGAACGAGGTTGCTGATGTTTTCATCGTGTCAATTATCAGTATTGTCCAGGAGAAAATCCAGAAAAATTAATATTCTGCAGTTATGCAAAATCATGTTTTTTCGCAACTGGAGATATTGTAAATCCATTCCGATTACAGCAGATTAAAAAGAAAAACCTATTCTTGTTTCTGGAGAGGTTGCTGTAGATACAAATCCACTTTGAAATGTGTAGGAAAATTCCCCTCGGCCCCACAGGCTTTTTTTTCAT